ACATTAGTAGATTAACCATTCCAAGCTTCATGCCATCTGCAAATCCAATAGCCATTCCTTCCAAGTCTTTCTGCAATCAAGAAATGTACTGAATGTGAGGGTTATAGATCAATTAAAGTTAAGCCCTTGCCCCGGTTGGTTTGCTCAGTGAAGAGTGTCTGCCCGCAGACTGAAGTCCCAGTTTTGATTCCAGTCAGGGCACATGCCCGGGTGTGGGCTCCATCCCCAGTAGGAGGCATGAAGGAGGCAGCTGTTCAATGATTCTTTCATTATAGATGTTTCTCTTTCCCTCTCCCTTCCTCTCTGAAATCAAAGTTAAGCCCTTGCCCTAGCCAATTTGGCTCAGTGGATAGAGCGTGAACACATGAACTGAAGGGTCATGGGTTCGATTCCCAGTCAAGGGCATGTACCTTGGTTGCAGGCTCGATCCCAAGCCCCGCATGGTGCATGGGGAAGGCAATAAATGTGTCTCTCAATGATGTTTCTCCCCCCTCCCTTCCACTCTCTAAAAATCAATGGGAAAAATATTTCACAGATGAGGATTAACAAAAAAAAAAAAAAGCTAAACCCTTGCTCTGGCCAGATGGCTCAGTTGGTTGGAATGTCATGCCATACACCAAAGGGTTTCGGATTTGATTCCCTATCAGGCCATATACCTAGGTTGTGGTTCGATCCCTGGTTGAGGCAAGAATAGCCAATGTTTCTCTCTCACATAGATCTATATGTGTTTCTTTCTTTCTCTCTCTCTCTCTCTCTCTCTCTCTCTCTCTCTCTCTCTCTCCCCCCCTCTCTTTCATATCAATGAAAATATATCCTCCGATGAGAATTTAAAAAATAAAATAAAAGGTTAACTGGATCAAAAGAAAGGGTTTTCAAAAACCTCTTCAAAAATTAGATATTATATTTATAATATTATTCAGAGCAGTAACTGAGTATCTTTCATCTAAAAATAACATCTCATCTTTTACATACTGTTAGAATTCTTCCCAATAATCTTTTTTGGTTATGTTTTATCAGATTTTAGATTTATAACCTTTACAGATTAAACATTTTATCAATGAGTTAGATTTTAGATTATAATAAAATCTGATTAAAAGATATCATAGATGCTCTGGCCAAGGTGAAATAGGTAAACACTGTGTTTGCTTCCTCCGATGACCACATCAAAATTACAAATAAATTGCCAAAACCGGTTTGGCTCAGTGGATAGAGCGTCGGCTTGGGGACTGAAGGGTCCCAGGTCCGATACCGGTCAAAGGCATGTACCTTGGTTGCGGTCATATCCCCAGTGGAGAGTGTGCAAGAGGCAGCTGATCGATGACTCTCTCTCATCGATGTTTCTAACTCTCTATCTCTCTCTCTTCCTCTCTGTACAAAATCAATAAAATATATATTTTTTAAAAAATTACAAATAAATTATAGAATAATCAACCTGAAAAACCATCTGAAGTTAGCTGGACAGAATTCCCATAACTAAGGACATAAAGAAGCCACATCTGGTAGGAGGGGCTGAGACCCACATCACATCTGATGGTTGAGAATCATCAGGAGGAATATCTCGTCTGCAGAGGTCCCACCTAAGGAGCAAGGGGTCCCAGGCCCACACTGGGCTCCCTAGCCCAGGGTTCTGGTGCCAGGAAGAGGAGCCTCTACAACATCTGGCTGGGAAAATCAACAGAGACTCTATCCAGATGAGACAGAGGGGTGCTGGAAACCCAGGCATCCCCTTAAAGGGCCTGTGTACAGTCTCAGTTTCCCATACTCACCCTAAGCTCCTTTGAAGGGGCAGTAGCTTGAAAGGTACCAGAAACATACATAGAGAAACTGACTTGTAAGGCTTTGGGTAAGGGTGGAGGGACAGCAGAGATTGTTCCCATGTTGGAACCACCCCCACAACAGCCCGAAGGTACAGGCGCTTCAGAGATCTTCAGACCCCAGGCAGGCAAGAATTGGCTTCAGAATGCCCTTTACTCCTGGCTGAAAGACTCCATCCAGTCACAGCAATGGTGCCAAACCTAAATATTCACTAACCTGGTGAACATTAACCTGGTTAACACCATTTGCCTTACTCTGAAACTCCCTGAGACCTTGCTCCACCCAAAGCTTTGACTATTCCTCAAAGGCAGCCATCTCACTAGTGCTTCAAACTGTCCTAGTAACTCTCAAAGGTCCAAAGGGTCTGGGAAAGTGGCTAATGGACACACCAAGTCCTGTGCCTCTTGCTGATTGGCCCCAAGCCTGCTCTGTAGTGTGATCAGCCTTGGTTCACTGTGTGGCCTCTGCCACATGCCTTTAGGCCCACCACAGGCAGCTACCAACTGTGGATCATTTTGTAGCTCCTACCAGGTGGCCCATGGCCAAGCACAGGCAGCAGCTGACCTTGTCCTGAACAGGAGCCCTACCCAAGAGTCCTCAAAACCAACATACCTGGTAGCCAGCTTCAGACCACACAAAGAACTACCCATTAGATCCACAAACAGCATACCCAAAGGGTGGTCTCAGCAGGCACCAAAGCTTCTCTGGGGCAAATCCCACTCCATGCGGTCAGTCCCTGCACAGCAAGCAGCTGGTCCACTATGATTATGGCTAATCCTTCCAGCCAGCCAGTCTGAGGCTCAACTCCCACCCAATGAACTGCAACTGGAGGACACACACAACCCACATTCTTGGAGCACCCAGCTGAGATTATCAGAAAGACTGTGCCACTGGGCTCCACAACACACGTACTATATAAGGACACCCTGTGAAGATCTACCTAATACATAGAAACAAACACAGAGGGGCAGCCAAAATGAGAACACAAATAACACATCCCAAATGAAGTAAAAGGGAAAAACTCCAGAAAAAGAAACAAACCAAATGGAGGCATGCAATCTACCAGAAACGGAGTTCAATGAACTTGGGGAAGACCAGATAAAAAGTTTCTACGGGGTTGAACATTTTTTAGGTTGAGAGCAGCCTCCCTCATAGCTAGTATTTCACTAAATATGTGGCTAGCCACTACCTAGCCTGCAGCCGGTCAGCGAGAAAAATCCATGTGTTAGATTTGGGGAAATAGGCTAGCAAAGGACAGCTCCCTGATTAGCTGGATAGTAGTAGAATATTCTGGGGTAATATCACAGACGCCTCCTGATCAGAGAAAAGGGGATCTCTGGAAGTCAATGACTTAATCCTTACCAAGCCAGATCTATATGTGATTCTGGGTTTTATTCTTGAAACAGTTTGGGAACTGCTTTTCCAGGCTATGATACTTTGAACATCTCTATCCCTTTCTAGGTAAATTAGCTAAAAGGGATTCCATTATAAAAATTAAGAAACCCTTCATATACACAAATTATAACCAAGTATGAACTTTTATGAGTTAATAAATTTATAAACTAAAAGCACTACATATTCAGAAAAAAGATCTAAAGGCCTGTAATAGCAGTTAACATCCTAAAGTTTAACTCTAAAGAGAAAAGTGGGATTGGCATGTACAGGTAAACGAAAGGGTGAAGGAAGGCTTTCATTTTTCTTCTGTATACTTACTTCTTTTCTGTTTAAAAAATTTTACAATGAGAAATAGTCATACAGTACTGGGAATTTAAAAAACATAATTTAAAATCATGTTTGCAGCACATATACTAAAAGTAACTTTTTTAAAACTTTAAAAAATTAAAACCCAGAGGTGCCTGTCAACCTAATTGAGAATAATAGTTTTACTGTACTTAACACTAAAAATATTCTGTGGTACATATATACACAATTTCATGTATTCTGACTTATATAACATAAAAACTTTATATTATCTTAGAATGGGTAATATGGGTAATACTTTCTAACTATGACCCAGAGGTAGAAAGAAAAAATATATTTTTTTAACTAAAATAAAAATTTTAAACCTTAAATAAAGTTAAAAGACGAGAAAAAAACTGAGGAAAATAATTTGAAGCATAATGGCAAATAATAGATTGATATTTCCTATATATAAAGAATTCTTACAAATCAGTAAGAATCAACATCTTGATTTAAAAATAGGCAAAGAGCATTAACAGTCATATATATCTCTCTCTCTCTTTCTCTCTTTCACACATACACACACACACACACACACACACCCAGCAAAAAACATTAAAATGGTCAATCTCAGTTTTTTATCAATCAATAAATACTTGGTAATATCTAGTATTAAATATGGTATACAGAAAAGGACAGCCTGAGACACTAAATTTAGAAGGGCAACCTGGAATACCAAAGAAATTTTAAACATGTGTTCCATAAACAAAGCAATTCTACATTTGGAAAAGTATCTTAAGCAAATAAACAGATATATAAGGATAAAGACATTCAGGTACTATGAAAAATTAAATAAATATTCAAAAATCCATAGTGTCTTATGATACTGCAAAACCACGCAGCCAGTACAAATAAAAATGTACCACCTCTGCCGAAACCAGTTTGGCTCTGAAAGGTCCCGGGTTCGATTCCGGTCAAGGGCATGTACCTTGGTTGCAGGCACATCCCCAGTTGGGGGTGTGCAAGAGGCAGCTGATTGATGACTCTCTCATCCTTCTCTCTTCCTCTCTGTGAAAAATCAATAAAATATATTTTTTTTAAAATACCACCGCTGTTAGCATGAAAAGATTTTCTAAATATATGATTAAGTGAAAAAGGCAGGCAACCAAGTAGTATTTTCTATTAGTGTTAAATACAGATTTACATAAGCATTTATATATATGCACACATATCTACAAATACACAACACGGCATATATTGTAGAAAACAGGTCTAAAATATTGCATACCAAAATGTATTACAGTGGCTAGTCCAGAATAATACAATCATAGGTGATTTTCACTTTCTTCTTCATACCTTTTGAATTGTTGAAAACCTGTACAAATGAATATGTATTGGTTTTCTGATGAGAAATAGTAATAAATATTTTCATTCTTGAAACAAAGAGCAATAAAATCACCTTATTAAATGCTTTGTCCTGTAATCATATATTACTATTTTCTTACCTTTAAACCTTCAGCTGGAAGTCTATAACCAAATCTTGCTGGAAGATCATCAAATGTCTGAGACACATTTTCAAAATTATACTAAATGTAAAATTAGAAACAATCCAGTTACAACCAATTTAAACATAACATTAAAAACAAAAAGTTTATTAAATTATTTGAGTTGTCATTTCCATAATTCTGATTTATAATCAGTTTATTACAGAAAAATTTTATAAATGTGTATTCACTAAAATAGCAAGGAATACATACAATTTACAACATATACAGCTGCTTAAATTGAATTCTGATTTCATATAATAATTAAACAACAGCAATAATTCTATAACATTAAACTGCAGACTATTTTCTGAGTTTTTCCCAGGGACAATACCCTAGACACGGGATTTTCTAGAAAGGTTTTTTCTCTGCAGGATTCCACTTTATTTTCTCTATATTATAGAGTCTGACTTAATAGAAGAGATTTATAGGATTTTTTGCCCTAGCTATGAAAAATGCATTTTCCCCAAAGCAAGGAGGAATATCAAATCCTACTTTTAAAGCATTGTCATTTTTTTATATAATCTGGAAATTTTTATCTAGGTCTAAATAATGAAAGGATTAAACTGAATGAAGTACATACATATAGAAAACCTATTTTAACAGTTTTCTCCTATTGATTCCTATGCTAAAATATCAGTCATCGCCAAAACCGGTTTGGCTCAGTGGTAGAGCGTCGGTCTGCGGACTGAAAGATTCTAGGTTCGATTCCGGTCAAGGGCATGTACCTTGGTTGTGGACACATCCCCAGTAGGGAGTGTGCAAGAGGCAGCTGATCGATGATTCTCTCTCATCGATGTTTCTAACTCTCTATCCCTCTCTGTAAAAAATCAATAAAAATTTTAAAAATAAAATAAATAAATAAATAAAAAATATATCAGCCCTCTACCAACACAGAACAAAACAAAAGAAATAGTAAATAAGTAACTTAGAAACACAGACAAAACACGTATGTTGCATTAGAAATTCAGATAGTTGTCATAAACTGTAGGCAAAAAAAATAGAAAAATAGAACATATTTGTTTGAATATAGATAAAAAGAATGAAACAAAGCAAGAGTATTATGTATAGATAGCCAAGGTTAGAAGGATCAAGCAAAACTTAAATATTCATAAACATGAATTAGATCGGACATCCAAGTTGATGGCTATATCATCCCTAAATCAAACAGCTACTGGTGATCCCCATTTTAGCTTCATGTGTCATCTGCCAGAGACATGCAGATAAATAGCACTTCAGGTTAACAGCAAGTTACAGCTGTGTTCATATGCAAATACCTCACATCTCTCCCATAAAGCAAGCAAAAGTTGGATCTAGACACCTTCCATCTGTCAAGTACCCTCGCTAACCTCAGCTCATGCCCTGGTAACCACCCTGTCACCAGGGAAAGCTGATGAAGCAGAGAGAGACTGGACAAAATGATGACAGTAACATAGGACTTGGGCAGTGTATTCTCGCATTCCACTTGTACCCTATCGCAAGTGCCTCAGCATATCCATCTATTCCCTGTACTTCTCACTGTATGTTTGTAATTAATTCAATAAGCTGTGTGATTAAGCACCTGAATTTAGTCTCTGCAGCTATCCACTGTGCCACCTCTAGAATAGTCAGCCTGGTGTTATACTTGTTATACATGTTTTGTCTGTGTTTCTGAAGTTACTTATTTACTATTATACTTGGAGGCCAGCGCTGCTTCTGAGTCATTTCTGACTGTAACACTAATTCACCTTTGCAGAGTGCACTAGGATTGAAACTGCGTTAGAGTCACAAAGTGCTGTTATATTCATCACCATATGCATCGTTTAACCTCCTAAGTAAAAGACCTTTCTTTAACTGATTAATTCAATTACAGTCAGCTCTGTGTTGAGTTTGAGAAAGTCATTTAATTCTGCCAAGGCCAAAGACACTATTGTAAAATAAAGAACCTGACCTAGATCAACATAAATACACCAAAAATATAAATATATAAAAAAATATATAAATGTGTGCAAACTATTTTTTAAAGGTACTTTTAAAATTAGGAAATGGAAAAGCAACTATACTAAAGGTTGTTTTTTTTTTTTATCATTTCCTATTATTAAGGAATTTCACTTTTTTATTAGAAGTTCAGAAATAAAATATCTGCCTTGACCTAGATAGTACTTGTAATATTAGGACTTGGAATCAGTTTTGTTATTAAATAAGACCCGATTTTGAAATTAATTTGTGTTTTCTTAATAGCAAAACAAGGACTGTCTCACACTGCCTCATATAGTCTCACTAGAGGCCTAGTGCACAAAGTTCATACATGGGTTGGGTCCCTAGCAGCTGCCAGCTGCCAGCCAGGGGCCTTCCTTCATTTCACACTGCCCCCTGGTGGTCAGTAATGTTACAGCGAGCAATCGAACTCCTAGTTGAACTCCTGAGGGGACACTTTGCATATTAGGCTTTAGATTCAGAGAAGGGGCCAAAATCTAAAATCCAGCCTAAATCGCAGGCCGAATGGTTTACTGAACAGTCATAAACTGTCATTGTGATGGAAACGCAGCAGAGTGCAGTGATAACAGCGCGGTTCGGGATTTGGCCCGCGGGCCTTGTGTTTGACACATGTGCTTTAGATAGATAGATAGATAGATAGATAGATAGATAGATAGATAGATAGATAGATAGATAATAGATAGGTTGTTTAAAGAAACAGTTCTTATCATGAATAAGAGAAATGGAAACAGCTTTAGCACAAAGTGCTTTACATTTTCATACTGAAGGGAGACTGCTGCTCCTGAAATTAAAGCATGCTCACTATAAAATGTTTTAATACTATATAATAAAGAGGGAATATGCTAATTTATAATCACACCCTCACAAAGATGGCGGCACCCACAGCCAATAAGGAAGGAATATGCTAATTGACTGCCATGCCCTCAAAGATGGCGACACTCATCGCCACAGATGGCGGCACCCTTTCTCCTCAGCCCTGCCAGGGCCACAGGCACGCCACACTCCTGCCTCTGGAGTCCCCCAGTCCCCTTGCCCAGCTGACACCAGAGGTGCAGGCAAGCTTCAGATGGTGGCTACCCAGCCGCCCAGGGCCAGTCCAAGGTGCAGGTAACCAGGGCCAACCAAGGCTTGCACTGTCAGCAGTGGCAGCAGTAGAGGTGTGATGGGGCATCACCTTCCCCTAATCACTGGGTCGCCTTCCACCCCTAAGGGCTCCTGGACTGTGAGAGGGGGCAGGTTAGGCTGAGGGACCCCTCACTCCAGTGCATGAATTTTCTAACTAGAGGCCCAGTGAATTTTCATGCACTAGGCCTCTAGTTAGAAAATAAAGTCACTCCTCTCTGGAATTCCATCTACAGTGATTACCACATATAACAGTTTTAATGCCCATATTTTGAAAAGGTCTTTTCCTAAACCAATTCTCCTCTTTGACAGCAGCCTTAGTAAAAAATTTCATTTTATTTAGAAAGTAACAATTATTGAGCACTTATGACATCATGCTTAACATTTAATATGTATTCAGTTATTTAATCCTTACAACAACCCTAAAGTCAGGCACTATTTTCATCCTCATTTTAGAGAGACCACAGATGTTGAAAATAACTTGCTCTAGTAAATTAGAGGAACCAGGATTCTAATCTATGCAGTCTGGCCCCAGAACCCTGGCTCTTAACCCATTACCCTACATCACATGTGTCAAACACAAGGCCCGCGGGCCAAATCTGTGCCGCCAGGCCTTGCAATGTGGCCCGCACCGCGCTGTCATCACTGCACTCCGCTGCGTTTCCATCACAATGACAGTTTATGACTGTTCAGTACACCATTCGGCCCGCGATTTAGGCTGGATTTTCGATTTTGGCCCCTTCTCTGATTGAGTTCGACACCCCTACCCTACATTGTCTCACATACAATCTCATTTTCATAAGAAGTAAAGTGAGACTTAAGAGACATTAAATTTAGCTCAGATTCTAACTCAACTGCTGGAGTACCATGTTGTGTAATCCAATCCATTCATACCACTGGGTGGCTACTCTCTTATTCTGCCCATTAGCCCTCACAAGCACCTACCAATCAATGAATTCTGTCCCTGACAAATCCCTTCAACAGAATCAAAAAGAAGATTGAGAGTAAACCAAAATTGGGTTGTTTGACTCGCTCTAAAACAATATAAGATGGATACTACTTCTCAATAAAATCATGACCCTACTCAAAGCTAATGAGTCACTTGTAGCTTATGAGCCTCAGAACATTCAACATTCATCTTGTTATCTCTAAAGTATCATGCCCCCGCCAATCCTAAGGTTCCATGTTTGTATATATAAATCTACATAATTAATAATTTCATACTTCCTTTGGATCAAAGGAAAAAGAAATTACATAAGAGATGAAAAGAGCCAAAACCGGTTTGGCTCAGAGGATAGAGCATCGGTCTGCGGACTGAAAGGTCCCGGGTTCGACTCTGGTCAAGGGCATGTACATTGGTTGCAGGCACACCTCCAGTAGGGGGTGTGCAAGAGGCAGCTGATTGATGATTCTCTCTAATCGATGTTTCCAACTCTCTATCCCTCTGTAAAAAATCAATAAAACATATTTAAAAAAAAACTATGATCTTAAAAAAAAGAGAGAGATGAAAAGATAATGAATTGCTAACAGAAAAACAACAATCTAAAGTACCAAGGAATGAATACTACTAAAAGAAAACATAAAAGAACTAAATATCCAGTGAAAAGCTATTTATCAGATCAAAGATTTACTGAATTCCTACTGTGTAACTTGCTCTAGGCAGGAGACATAATGTTTAGTAAGATAGTCCTGATTCCAGGTACTCATGATCTAGGGAGCTTACTGAATAGCTAGCAACACACTACAATGGCATCTCCAATAGTCTCTTCTATTTTTGGCATTTGAATTCTCCCATTTAACTGTTAATATCCTGACAACAGTCCTGCTCTAGTAAGTTAGAGGCTACAAAGTTTCAATTATAGAAGGTGAATACACCCCAACAGAAATAGCTGTCACCACTGACCAAGCATAAGATTTGGCTTCGCTCTAGGCTACAAAGTTTC